TAATCCTAACTATATAATCCTTAACCTTGAGTAGCGTTTCAGCTATCTATTGGGGGAAGATCATTGCTAAAAGACACCAACTTATAGTTTTAAAAATTATTGCCCTTATCTCTTACAGGGAAACTCAATATGTATACACATATATCCATGTTTCAAGCGATTGGTTTTGTATCTAGTTATATATCCCACTCTGTTCATAGCAAATTCTAACTTTTCGTATCTATCTATCTATCTATCTATCTATCTATCTATCTATCAGTCTATCTATCTATCTATCTATCTATCTATCTATCTATCTATCCTAGCGTATTAATACCGATACCTGTCTGTACATGTCTAGATATCTATAAACTGTAAACCCCTTGTTCTTTAATTCTGTTATCATCTATCTTGAGTCGCTCTTGAGCCATCTATCGGTTGAAGAAAATTCCAAAAAAACACCAACAAATATTTTTAAAAGATACTGTCCTTATCTCTTACAGGGAAACTCAATATGTATACACATATATCCATGTTTCAAGCGACAGTCGAAAGATTTAATTAAAACAAGAGGCCAATGTTTGTCGCTGTTCCTTCTTTTTCTCAGTGTTTAAAAATGTCGAAATTTACTTCCCTGATGATGGCTTTCATTTTTTTCGAAGCACGGTCATCAGAAGAGGCTACACTATGATTGGGAGGGATAACGATACGCAATATGTTTTCCACAAGCACAACACAAATGAAAGAGAGTTAATGCACAACAATCCAATATGGCGTACAAACAGAAACTGAACCACGCCGCCTTATGTACGAGGCAAACAATGTAAGTCGAAACAAGATTAATGGAGATTGTGTCGTAAGTACGAATCGCCGTAGTTCGGGTCTGTCGTACTCTAGGGATTTATTGTATACACATATCTATCTATCTATATATCTATCTATCTATCTGAGCATGTATCTAACCATCTATAGCGTACAACCAGGAACTGAACCACGCCGCTTATGTACGAGGCAAACGACGTAAGTCGAAACAAGTATAAAGGAGACTGCGTCGTAACTAATAATCGTCGTTGGTCGGGACTATCCTACTCCAGGGAGTTACTGTATACACATATTGTTAGGTACCTATTCTATTGTAATGGACTCTCCCATAGATAATAAGTAGGAGTAGCAGAATGGTGTTGAGCGATCAGTCGAGATTCGGACATTTGAAATACCAACCATCACAACAAGATTGCTGCGCCATTGACTCTTATTTTCCAAGTTCCTAACGTTTTGTACGTCGGACCTAATTTCGGACGACTTATTAGAAATACAAGCCTCCATTGTGAAAATACTCCACAACACATATCTATCTATCTATCTATCTATCTATCTATCTATGTCAGTTAATATCTATCTATCTATCTATCTATCTATCTATCTATCTATCTATCTGAGCATGTATCTAGCCATCTATAGCGTACAACCAGTAACGGAACCACCCCACCTTATGTACAGGGCAAAACACGTAAGTCGAAACATGATTAATGGAGACTGCATCGTAATTACAAATCGCCGTAGGTCGGGACTCCCATACTACAGAGACTTACTGTATAATTTTTTTCCTCTTTTTTGCTTGTAAAATTTAAGTAATATCAAAGCGAACTAAAAGAAATAGACATTAGAAAATTATTATAGTATATATATATATATATATATATATATATATATATATATATATATATATATATATATACTCGTTTTATATTTGCGCGTTCTGACATATCAGGTTTTTTACTGTCTTTAATATTTCTAACCGAATCCTTCTCGTTTCCCTCACCTAGGAGGGTCTTATAACCTTGGGTGCCGACTGGTCTAGGAGAACTCTGAATTGAATTCAAAACCTGATGACCTACTGTACGGAGTGAGGCCGACTAACGCCATAATCCGTACTGGTCGGTTTAGGAGCGGAGATGGGCGCCGTTAAGCAATCTGAATGTCCACTGAAAGGATCGTGAAGAAGAACAGTCTAAGTTTCTTTTGCACTCAGGTGACCCCTCCCCGGTCGAGTAAAGCATTCGAAGGACCGAGGGTGATGATGATGATGATGATGATGATGATTATGATCCGCTAGATTTATCAGATTTACCATCGATGTTGTACGTTTGACACATCAATAGAAATCTTCATCAATCCGCGGCGGACACACCACAGAATGCGGGTACATGAATCTAGCATAGATCGAACCATTGTCGTGATTGTAACCGCGGCCCAAGAAGTATTTCGTACGGATTTACAATGAGCGAAGGTTTATGGAGATGGAACTAGTTACAAAAAAAAAATCGCCATCAGCTCTGATTTAAACAAATTCGATTTTCCGAACAATTTTTTTTTAATCATTTCACCCCAAACAATGCAATAAAGCCACTGCGACGCAAGAAGGCTACTGATGTTCACTGTATATCTACAGACATGCGCAAAATAACTGAAATTCCGTTATTATATACAATTTTTTTCGTATTTTCCAATGAAACATAAGCCAGTGCACATGTCAGTACTCCGTATATCCATTTCCTTGCAGACTGACCACCGATTCTCGATTAGATTTAAATCAGGAAAGTTACCGAGCCAGTCGATATTACTCTGATTTGTTCATTGGTAAGGCTTGCGAGTGTGTTGGTGCAAGCCTTACAATTTTAGTACGCTTCCTTGGAGTAATGTCTATCGCAGACAATGTCCGTAGTACAACTAATCAACAGTCGAGACAATAGTGTCTGAGGGTGATAAAAATCTGATGCAATCAAGGATGACTCAGTATTTTTCAAGGCCCAAAAATTCCCATCATACACACTGAAAATAGATTCATATTATGCAAACCACTGCAAATGGCCTAATCTGAGGAAAAAAATAGAAATCGATGTCACTCCAGTGGGGCTAAAACTGACCGTATGGTGAAAGAAAGGAAACTAAAGCGGTTGTTTCAAATAATTTGAACAAGGATGTACTTGCGAGTGTGTGACGAAAGGATGGACGGACTAACGAGGTCACATAATTATATATATATATATATATATATATATATATATATATATATATATATATATATATATACCCAAGTAAAGGATTGGTGTATCCGGAATAAATTCCAATAACCAACAAATATTATTCTTAAAATAGTGCGCAATACAGAGTAGAGCAAATATAATTATTTATTCGAAAATTATAACATAAATCTATTATAAAATCACTACAAAAATAGCCATTTTGTTTCAACACTTCTGGTGCCTTATCAAGTGATGGTGCTATCTATCTATCTATCTATCTATCTATCCCAGCGTATTAATATCGATAGCTGTCAATACATATCTAGCTATCTATAAACTGTAAACCCCTTGTTCTGCAATTCTATTATCCCCCATCTTGGGTAGCTTTTGAACCTTATATAGGGTAAAGATCATTGCTAAAAAAACACCAACTTATAGTTTAAAAAGATATTGGTGTCTTTTCAAGTAATTGTGTTCAAACAAAATGGCTATTTTTGTAGTGATTTTATAAGATACTAGCAGTAGAGTCCGGCCTTGCCCGGGAATGTAACAGTAAGAGATAGATCAAGTATCGACCATCATAAAGACTGAAAAATAAAATTGACAAAGATTATTGTTTAAGGTTGACGGACACGCATGTCTTAATTATTTTTTTTTTTTTTACGAGTTGGTCAAACCCAAACTCAAACAAAAACATTGTTTTCAATCATTATGAGTCTACCGATTGAATTGAATTTTATTATAAACAATTGTCTTGTAAATGGAATTTTAAAAGCATTCTGAATGTAAAAATAAAGAAAAAAAAGTGTGCAAGAAAATAAGAAACACTACCTGCCAAAAAAAAGTGAAGTTTTGTTGAAATCGGTTGAAAAATGTAGGAAATCCGATCCCATATATAAACGAACACACAGAAACACACAAACAAACAACCTGGGTTTTAAGTATAACTCGATATGAGTTGTCCCCCTTTCATTCTCGCGACAGCGATGCCTCTTAATCGTGTTTTCAAATTGATTTCGTGCAAAAACAATTGTGTTTTTCCAATTTTTGGCGCTGTTAGAACCACCGCAAGTTAATTTTACATAGTCCTGTGAAGTTTTGTTGAAATCGATTGAAAAATGTAGCAAATCCGATCCAATATATAAACCTACAGATACACACACACACACACACACACACACACACACACACACACACGCACACACACACACACACACAACCTGGGTTTTATAATAAATATGATGTGTTATAATTTTCGAATAAATATTTATATATATATATAAGTGTGTGTGTGTAGATAGATAGATAGATAGATAAAAGCACTGGAAATCATGAAGAAATGCATTGTTAGTGTTCCGGAATTAATACAAGGCTTATTTTCCTCTACACGATGCTGAGCTTGAGGAAGATAAATTTGTTTTGCTTCTTCCTCTCTCAGGTCGCACCCGATGATTGCAGCACTCGATGGGGTTATTATGATCATGATGATAATTTACGGATTTTCTTAGTCCACCGTCCATACTGCACTTTTCAGACATCCAGAGAATTCTTCATCAACTCACGGCGGGCACAACATTTAGTACAAGGACATGAATCCGGCATATATATTTTTCTTTTAATCATTTCAAACGCCCCCACCTTCACACCATAAAGACAATAAAGTCACTACGACGCAAGGGGTTACTGATCTGTCCACGTATGCCTATTTTAGAGAAGGACGAATTTTAGAATTTTATATGCCACGCGTGATAAACGCTTAGGCTATCATCTATCTTTCGATACTTGACTGAGGAGGCCGATTTGTTCTCGCAGTATGTTGTCATTTCTTTTTGTGGTAGACCAGTTGCCATCCAATGCTATAGAACCCGGTCTGTTCTGATATTTACCCATAGCTGGGGGAGGGGAGAGGAAGAGGATTCATACCTTTCCCAAGAGTATTAGCACGTCAGTTAGTCAGTTGGGTAGCATGCGTGATACACGCTTAGGCGATCATGT